CCAAAATTCTTCAATTCCAAGGGCTCTGCCAAAGGATCTGCTGGAGAGAATGAAGGTTCTGCTTCAATTTTTACCCAAACTTCCCAGCAATCCAAACAATCAAAAGAAAAATCCCACATTTCCAGACACCACTCAGTGCCAGAATCTTCAGCTCCAGATCTGATAGCACACGGGATGTTCCTAGCATGGGTCTATTTAACTCCCCAGTGAACATTTTTAAAGCTGACCAATTCCTTGGTGCATTTGCTCTTTCAGAGGCAGAACCGGGGAAAAATTGGATTTCCCATTCCTCAGCTGTCCATGTATTGTCCCCAGTGTTCTGCTGTGAACTTTTGGGCACTTGGAGCCAGGGAATTATGTGAAAATCTTGGGTTTTCATAGAACCATGGCAGGGTTTGAGTGAGAAAAGACCTTAAAGCTCATCCAGTGCCACCCCTGCCATGGCAGGGACACCTCCCACTGTCCCAGGCTGTTCCAAGCCCCAGTGTCCATCCTGGCCTTGGACACTTCCAGGGATCCAGGGGCAGCCACAGCTGCTCTGGGCACCCTGTGCCAGGGCCTGCCCACCCTCACAGGGAGAAATTTGTTCCAAATATCCTGTCTAACCCTGCTCTCTGGCAGTGGGAAGCCATTCCCTGTGTCCTGGCACTCCAGACCCTTAGAAATTGTCTCTTTTCATCTTTCCTGCAGCCCCTTCAGGCACTGAAAGGCCACACTGAGCTCACCCCAGAGTCTTCTTTTCTCCAGGATGAACAATCCCAGCTGTGCCAGCCTTTCCTCCCAGCAGAGCTGCTCCATCCTCTGCTCATCCTGCTGCCTCCTCTGGCCTGGCTCCAGCAGCTCCAGGTGCTCCCTGTGCAGGACCCCAGGGCTGGAGCAGCTCTGCAGGTGGGGTCTCACCTGGGCACAGAACCTCTGCTCTGGGGGGCTCAGCCCAGGCTCGGGGGTCTCTGGGTCCTGTCCAGCTCACACCCCCCAGCACCCCCAGAATGCTTTTAGGAGTTTTCAGATTCCTGCACTGATACCAAGAACTCATTAATTTATTGATGGTGTTTTTCAGGTGATTCAGAGCCTGGTAATGATTTCAGACCCCTCTGCCTTGGTGCAGATGAACTCCTCCAGCCCAGGTAGGATGGCAGTGCCAAGGGCAGGGGGAAATCACCTTCCCAGGGACATCTCCCTCCCCACATCCTTTCCATTTATTCCTGGGTGTGCTCCTTGTAAACCAAGGAAGGGCTGCACAGGTGAAGATATTTCCACAGCAAACACCTTTCCAGAGCAAAAACACGGCTGCCCCCAACTCTGAATCCCGAGGACACAACAAACAGCCCCTAAGAATTCCCGTGAGCAGAAAGGGGCCTTGGGATGTCCCTGGTGCCGGTGGCTTTGCTGGGAAGGGCTGGAGCTGAAAATCAGGACACTGGGGGTTCATCCCACCTTCCCCACTCTGTGATCTGATTTTCCAACCGGGCTTTTGCTTTCCCTAATCCCATGGGACAATCTAACGATGATTTCAATGCACATGAACTCCTGAGGAGGCAGAGCAGCCCCAGAGCTGCCCCGGGACCGCCAGGAGTCGCTCAGCAAAGAGCAGAGCTGTCGTTAATCTTTGTCACCAGCCAGCACCTAAAGAGCGTTCAGGTGGCATCCGTGTGACAGAGCACGGGCCACCAAGTCATTGTCACGGTGACCCCCGGCACCACTGCAGGCTGGAGCAGCAGGGACAGCAGCAGGGGACGTGAGAACAGCCCCAAACTCGGTGTCACAGCGCTCTGGCTCTGCAGCCAGGACTAAAGGAAGCCAAAGCCTCGTTGCTGCAGGGCAGGAGAAAGTGGAAACGCCACCAGCCCCAGGCCAGCGGTGTCATCCCTCAGCTTCAAAGGAAGGGCAGCAGATGGGGTCAGATAAGAGATCCTTGAATGCCCCAACTGAATCACCTGCACAGGTGCATCCCAAAGCAGCCCAAACCCTTCCCTGCAGTCCCCAAACTGAAGATCATGAGGGCAAAGTTTGATGCTTCTGCTCTGTGATATTTCACTTTTTCCTTATCAATGTCTCATTACGAAATCCAGGAGCTGAGCCAGCAAGAAACTCCTTTTCTCTTGAATAACTGAACCAAACTTTCTCCTCTGATGTCATCCCAACCCAAGTCTTTGGGTCATCTAATCCCAGCCCACGACTTTAGGTCATGGCTTGGATTCGAGGATCTCAGAGGTCTTTTCCAGTTCAATTGATTCTGTGTTTCTGATCCCAGTTCCAGCAGAATTGGTGTCTCCTGTTCAAGACATCCTGGCACTGTTTTTATTCCTGCCTCTATTACTGGGCCAATCCTAAGGTCCTTGGCTGAGGTATGGAGCCAGGTGAGGAGGAAATCCCAAACCCTGGCTCAGCAGCGTTTGTAACCTGAATTTGGAGCAGCCTCTGCCAGGCCCCGAGGTGCAGCACAAAGCTGAACCCACCAGAATCAGCGAGGAAATGCAAATTAACAACTGCAAATTAACAACAGCCCCTCTCAGACTCTGACAACGAGCTGGGTGACAGCAGGGACTGACAGGGACCGGCACAGGGTGGCCTCAATGACACACATTGCCTGGGTGAGGCAGAGCCCGGGTGGCCCCAGGTGAGGATGAGGCAGCAGGAGCCTCCCTCCCACCTCCTCCCCACCTTGGGGTCCCTCTCCAGAGCGGGGGATTGGGGCAGGTTTGGTTGTGTTGTTTATCTGCCAGTGCGGAAGAGGAGGAGGAGGATGAGGAGGAGGAGGAGGAAGGAGGCAGCCAAACCTGCCCTTGTTGCCAGAAGCCTGCTGGAGTTGTCTCCTGCAGGACGTGTGAGTTGAGGCGTGTGTGACCCCTCCTCGTGGGTGTCCGTCTGTCAGCACCACCTGCCCCAGGCCTGCAGCACCTTGCCCAACTCCATTAAACCTGACACATCAAAGCACTTTCAGTTCAGCCAAGCTGCTCGGGTGGCAGGGAGCCACGGGGAGCACGGGGAGCCTTCCAAATGCCAGGGCTGGCATCAGAGGAGCCGAGCAGGAAAAGGTGAGAAAAGGTTCCCAAACTGCCTCGGGAAATGAGGCTGTGCGTGGTTGTGTTTTCCAAAAGTTTTCTCTGTCATTCCCAGCCCTATTTGATGATATCCCCTAGTCAGCTGTAGGATTTGGCTTGTTATTACCCACAGCTGGGAGGCTGAAGAGCAATTTTTTTGTATTATCAGCCAAAGCGTGGAGGAGCCAACAGCAAAATGCACCAAGGGAGATGCAGGACGGGGACATTGAGGAAGAATTTGAAGGATGGGGACAGGAACATTTTATCCAGCTGGAGCCACAGACAGGGCTGAAGGGAAGTGGCAAGTAATTATGGCAACTGGAATCCAGCCAGGGTGTCTTGAAATACCAGCTTGCAAAACTTTCACCAAAACACGCCAACGGAGCAGGTGTTTCGAGGATAACAGATCTGGGCTTTGACTCTGCAATCAGCCCTGGGATCAGCAGATCCAGGAGAAAACGATTATCAGGAATTAAGGCTGTAACAGATCCTCAGTCCCTCGAGGCCCTCCAGGTCTGTTTTGCTCAGGATTTTGGGTACAAAGGAAGAGAAAAGCTCATTTATTTCCAGTTCTGGACAAGAAGTCCCCCTCCTTGCTCTGGACAGGAACCCTCCTGGTGCTTGACCCCCCAGGCCTGACAGCCTCCTCAGAAGGTGGCAGTAAATCCAACTTTTTGGATTTAGGGAGGATTTTACCAATGTCCTGCCTGCAAAGCTTTGCTCCCTGAGTGCTGGAGCATGGCTGCCCCTGCAGAGGAACCTGGCAGCCAGGGCCAAACCCAGCCTGGGCCAAACCCAGCCTGGGCATCATTTGGGAAAGGAAACGTGGATCAACCAAGCAAGGAGAGCAGATCTGGCACCCAACCCCATCTAAAAAACAAATCCTGGCACAAGGCTGAGAGGGCTAGGAGAGAACCAAGAATTCTTTGTTAAGTGTCACCTGAGACCTTTTCCGCCCCAATCTCTGTCCCCAACAGCTCCACGTGCTCAGCCCCGAGAGCCACCCCCGCCACTCCCTGCCAGCCGAGCGGCTGCAGATGGGTTTGGGATGGAGGGCAGCGCCCCAGGAACATGAAAGGAGATGTGTAAACACAGCCTGTGTCCATACAGAGCCTGTGCTTGGTGCTGGCGTTCCCAGGAGCGAAATCATTGCTCGTTGAGCAAGAGCTGGAGAGGCAGAAAGAAAAGAAAAGGAAAGGACGCAGGGTGGCAGGGGAGGAGACGTCATTCCAAGCTGGGAGCAGCCCCCAGCGCCAGCTCTTGCTCCAGTGCTCGGGAAGGAGCAGCAGAGAGGAAAGGAGCAGAGGTTCCAGCCAGGGCTCTGCACCAGGAGCCCTCTCTATCCCATTTCTCCATCTACACACCTCAAGGAAGCTCCGGCTCATCTACAGCTCCCCAGATGGACAAAGCTTTCCCCAAAGCCTCCCCTGGACGGCTGCAAACCATTTGTTTCCTGGAGCTGAGCCCTCTTGACAGCCTGGGAGAAGCTCCAGGTGTTTGATTTTCCTTGACATTTCAGGGTCCCATGGAAGCGGAGCCCAGCCCCAGGAGAGCTCCAGCCCAACAAGAGTTTTCCAACAGGAGCAGTGTGCAAGCACAGGGAGGAAGGGAGGGAGCCAATACTAACTACACCTGCACTAATGAAACACCCAGGACCTGGCGAGAGGCAGTAAAAGGGAAAAGCAGAGGAGGGAGCTCAGCCTCGTTATGCAAGCTGGTTATTTAACGACCACAAAGACACTCTATAGGGGCTCTTTGTTTGCAGAGGGAAAGGAGAGAAATGCCACCAATATCTGAGTCACTGGTTCACCAAGAGGCTCCGAAGACGTTTTCAGATGGAAACTTTTCCAGGTTCACATGGTAATTTGGGAGGACTGGCTCATTCCCTGGCTCCACCCACCGCCCTGTAACACAGCTCCTGCTGCTCTTGCATATATAGATAGGTATGGCCCTACACCTGGCTGCACACACCAGAGCCCGGACACAGAGCAACCCTAAACTTTCTTCCTCCCTGGCTGACCTCTACCTGCCCCCACCATGAAGAAGGAAATACTAACCCTGGCCTTTGCTCGAGCCGTCTTCGTGGAGTTCCTCTCCACGCTCATCTTCGTCTTCATCGGGCTGGGCTCGGCGCTGAAGTGGCCATCGGCCCTGCCCAGCATCCTGCAGATCGCGCTGGCCTTCGGGCTGGCCATCGGCACCTTGGTGCAAGCCTTCGGCCACATCAGCGGCGCCCACATCAACCCCGCCGTGACCATCGCCTTCTTCGTGGGCAACCAGATCTCGCTGCTCCGCACGCTGCTCTACGTGCTGGCCCAGCTGGTCGGGGCCATCGCCGGAGCCGGGATCCTGTACGGCGTCACCCCGGCCAACACCCGCGGCAACCTGGCCATCAACGCGGTGAGTCCTGCCCGGGGCTCTCCCCTCTCCCCTCGCCTTTCCTCCGGCTCCGTCGGGATGGATGCTCGGCGCTCTGTCCCGCACGCACGGCGGGCTGGGAATGGGACGGGAGCGAAGCCGAGCTCTGACATGACGGCTTTATTGTGCGGGTGATGAGTGGGATGTTTTTCCCTCCTTTAATGAGGGCTTCCTCTATCCCGAGGGCCCCGTGAGTCACCGCACCATTGAGATGTTCCCTCTCCACCTGGAGATTAGCGCGGGATAGGAGCCGTGCCAGAGGCAGGGGGCAGGGAGGGAGCAGAGCCCAGTCAGACCAGTACGGGCGCGGGGAGCAGGAGCCCACTGGAACCAGTGCGCTGGGGGAACTGGGAACCGAGAGGGACGGGGAGAATGGTGGGGAAGAGCTGGAGAAGGAGCGAGGGGCAGGACGGTGTCCAGGGGCTGCTCCCAGGGGAGGAGGGGGACAGCGGGAGGACCCTCGGAGATAAGCGGGAATGAGGCACAGCCTGAAACCCTCGGGGCAGTGCTGGGAGAACGCCTGGAATGACAGAGCTGGAGCTCCAGGCACGGACAGGTCCGGACCCCCGGGAGCAGCACAGACGTTCAGAGGGTTCGGTCACTGGGATGAGGAGCTGCAGTGCCTCTCATTCCACAGGTTCTGCATCCCAAACAAGCCAGATTTAGATTAAAAATGAGCTGTGGTGGGTTGGGTCACTTTGTCCTTCCCATGCCCAGTGGGGTCAAGTCTCCCTGAGAGTCCCCAGGGCTTTGTGCAGTCACTGGGACACAACAGCACATTCCACCCGTGACCTTCATCCCAACCATCACCCTCCTTCCCATCCCAGCTACCCCTCATCCTCCTGGGCATGTGCTCCACAAAGTGCAGGGCAGAAGTCAGGGTACAGCAGTCTGCAAGGATCAAGGAAATGCAGGAAAAAAGGGATTTGTTTGGGAAGCACTGAGTGTTGTGGAGACAGGGAAGTGGAGAGAGGTGTGGAAAGCCCAGGGAAGGGACAGGCTTGGGGAAGAGACAGATTGTGGAGAATTGCAAAGAAAGATCATTTCTTTCCTTTCAGAGAAAGACCAGGGAGCTCACGCAGGGGCCCTGGGGGGCTTCTCACCCAACTTCACCTCCCAAATCTACCAGCAAAGCACCCGGGAGCCCTGGGGAGGGTTAATTATTGTCACTCTCGTGGTTCCAGATCAACACCAACGTGACCCCCGGCCAGGCCCTGGTGGTGGAGATCATCCTCACCTTCCAGCTGGCCGCCTGCATCTTCGCATCCACGGACAACCGGCGCAGCGGCGTCGGCTCCCCCGCGCTGTCCATCGGCCTCTCGGTCACCGTGGGCCACCTGGTGGGGGTGAGTCCAGGGTCCTGTGAGCACTGAACTGCCCAAAATGCCCTCGTGCACTTGGTCCTGAGGGAGCTGCTCCGGAGGAGAAAACACGGGAGATGTTGGGGCTCTGTAGTGGTGAGGGGCCATGTCCAGCTCTCTGGGACAGAGACACTGTCAGGGGCCACTTTGGTCACTCCCTGCTCCCCAGGAGTGGCTCTGAGCTGCTCCCTAACCCAGGCTTCTCTCCTCACCTCCAGATTTACTTCACCGGCTGCTCCATGAACCCTGCGCGCTCCTTCGGGCCCGCGGTCGTCACCAGGAGGTTCAGCCCCGCACACTGGGTGAGTGCTGGTGCCACTGGGGACGGGGACAGGGCAGGAATGCCGTGGGAATGACAGGGCTGGGGGTTTAGAGCCGACCCCAGGCAGGAAGGATTAAAAGGGGCTGGAGAATGAGGGAGGTTTTGCCCCTTGATGCATCAGGAACAGTTAATCCCCTGGCACAGAGCCAGCCAGGGGACAGAAATGAACCCACCCAGGGTTCAAAACTCATCCAGTCCCACCCCATGCCATGGGGAGAGACATCTTCCACCAGCCCAGGTTACTCTAAGCCCCATCCAAGCCAGCCTCGGGCACTGCCAGGCACAGAAATCGGAGCCCTCTGAGCACCACTGGTGCATCATCTGAGGGGAAGGAAACCCAGGAGAAGCCCAGCTTGGTCTTTCCTCTCACCAGCACTTTGTGCAAGCTCAGCCCCAGACTCCCAGAGCAGGTTTGGCTCTCAGTGAGCACAGGCTGAGGGGTTTTCAGCCCAGGGAGTCTCTGGACAGGCGTTTTCCTCTCTCGTGTGGCAGATGTGGAGCAGGGATGGGTGGTGGTGCCGGGGCAGAGCTGCAGCCCCGGGAGCTGCTCTCACCGTGCCCCTGCTGCTTTCCAGGTGTTCTGGGTCGGGCCCATCCTCGGGGCTTGCTTGGCCTCCCTGCTCTACTTCTACATCCTGGTGCCCTACTGCATGAACATGTCTGACAGGGTGGCCATCATCAAGGGCACCTACGAGTCCGAGGAGGAGTGGGAGGAGCAGCGGGAGGAGAGGAAGAAGTCCATGGAGCTGACCCCGCCGTAAGAGCAGCAGGAAGAGCCAAGGCGAGGGAGGGGAGGGAGCCCCACAGAGGGCTCGTGTGTGCCCCAAAGCCAGGCCATGCCCACAGCAGCTGCAGCTCAGACTCTCAATCCAAAGCCTTCCCCTGCAGCCCCCGTGGACGCAGGAGGGCCGGGGGCTCTGTGTGTGTGTAAAGAACCCCTGCATGAGCTCTAGAACCTCTCCAGCTTCACAAACCCCTCGGCTCCATCTCTGCACCGTGGCAGGGCCCCAGACCCCGCCTTGGGCCACCTGCAGGACCTCACCTGGCCCAGGTATGGGAACACCTGGGGGCCCCTGGGGGAAGGGGAACTGCTTAGGGCAGGGGGTGCAGCTACCCCCCAGTCCAGGGGCTGCTCGTAGATGCTCTTTCACCTTTCCTGGTGCTGGGAGTCCTTTTTATTCCCAAAGAATGAGACTTTTTGGATTCTGTGTTGAGATCTTTGTATTATAGTTTCTTATTTATTGCAAATAAAGGAAAGTTAAAAAAAAATCCTGGCTGCAAATCAGCTCAAGTCTCAAAGTTTAGGAGAAAAATGGATTGAGCTGGACACAAACTCATCCCAAAGGGTTGGGGAAATAACAATTCAGACCCTGAATCCTGTGGGAGCTGCTGGTTTGGGAGGGGAGAACATGAATCTTGGGAAGGATGAGTGGGCACTTGTGATGGAGTGGGGAGGAGCAGCAGGTGCAGGGCAGCTGGGAGCCCATCCCGGGGCTGGCAGCAGCAGGAGGGATCCTTCCAACCCTTCCCACACGGCCGATGTGACTCCAGCCCTACCAGTTCTCCCAGACAGCTCCACAGTGCCCTCAAAAAATGACCCACAACTCCCCAGCCCCTCAGCTGTGCCAAACCCACACCTTCACCTGGCCTTCTGCTCCGGCCCTGCTCTTCCAGTTCTACCACAACCCTCTGCCAGAGCAGCTCCCGGCCAAGGCACTGGCACAGGGACACCTGGATGGGGACACCGGGACAGAGACACCAGGACGGGGACACCGGGACAGGGATAGCAGGATCGGGACACTGGGACAGGGATAGCAGGATCGGGACGGTGGGACAGGGACAGTGGGACACCTGGATAGGGACACGGGCACAGGGACACTGGGACAGGGACACCCACCCTGGCCCAGTTCCCTCCCTCCCAGCTCCAGCCCCCATTCCTGCTGCAAGGGGAGGATCCCAGCACAGACACCCAGGGCGGTGGGAGCCCCTTCCCTGGGGGCTCCCCCATCCCACGTTCAGCTCGATCCCAACCCAGAGGCTGCAGCCTTGGCCAGGGGGGATGGGCAGCCTCACCTGGATTGTGGCATCCCTGGACCTGCAGTCTCTGGGGAGCAGCACCTTCACTCCCCCAGCTGTCCCCAGAAGGGGTTGGGGACAAGCAGGAGGAGGAAGGGAGGTAGAAGAGCCAGGAAATTAAACCCTGCAACCCCCCCAACCATCCTCAGGGGTGGGCTGAGGACCCCCTATGCCTCAGTTTCCCCTTTTGAAGGATACTGGGCCCCCTTCCCATGGGGAGATGGGAAAAACACAGGCCCTGGGGAGACTGGAGCATGTCCAGATCCCAGAGACCCCTGCCAGGGGCTGGGGCAGGGTACCCCGAAGGCTGCCCTCAGCCCCCCCAAACCAGGAATCTCAACGATCCCCCTGATCTTGGAGCTCTGAACCCCATCCATCCATCCGGAGCAGGGATAGGGGAGTCCCAGTGGGAACTGGGGACCACAGCCTCCCCCAGATGTGCCCAACCCCCCAGTCCCTCCAAGGGATCAACAGCAGGGGAAGGAGCCCGGGCTGGGTGTGAGCCCTCCCGGGATGAATCAGCTGCAGCTCCAGCTCTGTGTCAGCACAAAAACCATCCAGGGCCCAGCCCTGAGCCCAGCTCAGGCACTGCTGGGGGGTTTGGGGTCAGTGGGACCCCAAAGCGGGGCAGGTGAGGCTGAGCCCAGCTCAGGAGCATGGAGCCCAGAGCTCCCTCCCCACTCTGGCTTCCCTGGGCGCTGGGGATTTGATCCAGGCAGGGGGGTGAATTTAATCCAGACTGAATTTTGGCATCCAGCAAACCCCATGACCTCACCTGGCCAAGGGCAGGGCCCAGGGCAGGGCTGGGAAAGACTGAGGTCCTCCCACCTGTCCTCACCTGTCCAGGAATGGGAACAGCAGCACTTGAAAACCAATGGAGAATTTATTATTATTGCTTCTTTAGCATCCCAGCTCCTTCAGATCGATTTTTAATGATTGGAAGGCTGGGAGGCAGCAGTGCCCCACTCGCTCCCTGAGCAGAAATTGGCTTTTCACAGGAAAATCCATCTTTATTTCAGCAGAACCAGCAAGGCCAGGTACAAACCTGTGTGCTCACAGCTGATTTACCTGCAGTTCTGTGCTGGTTCTCCTACTTCTCCCTAAAAACAGGAGTTCCCATCCCCTTCCCTAAGCCACACAGCTTCACCATCGTTTAGGGCATAAAAAGATGAATTACACTTTATAACAAGCTTTTTTCACCCTAATTTAAATGTTTCTCACCAGGTGAAACCACTCCAAAGGCACGTTATTACCATTCCTGGGTAGTTTTGCTCTAATTAAGGGTTATTCCCTGAACATGCCCACGAGCAGCTGCTCTGCTCTAAGAAGATTTCACAGATAATTCCTCACTCCTGAGTACCTTTTCCATCCTCAGGTAATCGCTGCTCAGCTTTAAAAATTGGATTTTTTTCCTGGAAGGAGGGCAAGCCCAACGATTTTCACAGGTTGCAACAGTCTGGAAACCTCACATTTTTTACACATCAAAGGGCTTTCAGGTCTGCTGAAGTCTAACTAAGGGAGATATCCACCAGCTAATTTAAATTCCCTGAACCCCAAGTTTTCTGGACAGGGGGAGGAACCAAGGGCATGAGAAGCAGCAAAACTCAGTGGAAATGGCCCAGTTAAGGATTTTTCATTGGGATGCAGGAGCTGCTTTGTTTCTGCTCCTTGCAGAGGGTGAGGCCCAGCTCTGTCCAGGAGGGAGCAGGGACAGAGCTCCACGTCTGGGGTGCATCCCTTCCACCCTGCTCCCAGCTCCAACTGGTTTATTACATCCCTGAGTGCTTCACTTGAATCCTCGGGTCCTGGAGAGCAGAGCCTGGTCTCACCTGGAAGCTCAGCCCAGCTCACTGGAAAGATGAGGAGAAAACAACCCAGGAAATCCCAGGGAGGGAGAAAAGCATCAGAGAGGGGATTGAATCTCAGCTGGGAAATCCGAGCAGCCCAGGAAGCGCCTCCCTGCTCCAGGAGGAATTCCAGGGGGGCACTGGAGAGCCCCGAGCAGGCAGAGAGCAGCTCAGGAGAACCACGGAGGAGCTGCCCAGGAGACAGAACATGGAACAGAGAACAGAACCCAGGATACAGAACCCAGGATACGGAACAGAGCAGAGAACTCAGAATAGAGAACACAGAGCACAGAAAACAGAAGAGAGCAGAGAACAGAACCCAGAATATAGAACACAACCCAAAACTCAGAATAAAGAACATAGAACAAAAAACCCAGAACAGAGCACCAGGCTCCACAGCAGGAAACTTTATTCCTGCAAATGCTGACACTTCCAGAGCATTTCCAGGGCTGAAATGCCTCGGAGAGGAGCGAGCTGTGCCCCAGGGGGAGAGCCCAGCCTGGGTGTTGGCATTAGTCACGGCACAGGCTGTGCCAGCACCCACCTCCTCCGGAGCCTTCCTCCTCCTACTCAACCTCTGCCCAGCCTGTTGTGCCATGAGATCCCTCGTTAGGAGCCAGGAAACAGCTCCCAGGCCACCAAGGGACAACAGCCACCCTTCCTGTTGTCACCCCGGCCAGGAAGGCGGCCCCTGCCTGAGCAGCAGCTCCTGGAATTTGTGCTTGGCTCCCTGGCTCAGCTCGTGGGGATTTGGGGGTCAAAGCAATGCTGGGTCAGGTTGGGCACCCTCCAGTGCTGGCAGTGCCACCAGTGCCACCAGTGCCCTGCCTGGTCCCCACAGGGCACCGAGACCCCAGTGTGTGCCTGGGAGAGGCAGCACCACCATTCATGGAAAGGTGAGAATTGCCAAAAAACACCTGGGACATTGAGGAGGCGAATGGCTGGAGATATCCAGAGAGCAGGGAGGGCAAGAGGAGATCCAAAGGTGCTTCTGTTCCCACCAAACCTCCTACAGCCAAAAAAATGCCTCTTTAATAATTCCTAACAACTTTAATGAGTCCCAACTTAGCTTTTAATAAGTCTCAGCTCGACTCTGCTAAGTTCCAATTCCTTCAGCCCCTAAAATGCCTCTTTCAAGCCAGAACAGTTGGGAGTTTTTAGCAGATGTCCCAAGGTGGGGACCAGGAGGGGACAGGCGTCCCCCAGCCCTGGCCCAAGCCCTGGGTGCTCTGGAGCAGCACCCCAGAGAGAAAAGGGTGTCCAGGGCATCTCCTGGTGCCCTCTGCTGGGACTGTCCGTGGGAAAAGGAGTGGCCAGGAAAACCCTCCCCTGAACAGCTCCAGCTGAAGGAAATCCCCCTCTTGGGAAGGAAAACCTTGCAGAGCTCAGCCCCAGCACCCCATGGCAATGGAGGCTCCGTCCCAGCGCTGGCGGGATCGTGGCTCTTCCTGCTGCCAAGTTTCCTCTTGCTCAAGGGTTTGCCTTGGCTTTCCAGGATCTGTTTGTTCTTAATCACCTTCCAAACAAAGTCCAAGAGCGGCTCCTCTGAGGGCTGACATCAATAAAAATCACGCGTAAGAAGAAGGGAAGATAAAGGCGCCCTGCAGGCCTGAGCTCGGCCCAGCACAGGGCCTTTGCTGGGGAAGGTCAGGGACGACTTCCCAGGCTGGAGAAAGCAAGAACCCAGCAGGCAAGGAGGGGGTTAAGCTCAGCTTTGTTAAACTGCAGCCCTGGGGTGAGGCCTCGGAGCTGCCCCAGCTCCTCCAGCCAGGCTTTGGGCTGGGCTCCCCCAAAACAAAACTCTTCAAGCTCGGTGCCTCCATCCAGCTCCAGGATGTGCAGGACAAGGAGGACAAGACCTTGAGGGCTCTCTCCATGCACAGAACCACTCAGGAGAGCTGGGACCTGATCCATGGCAGAAATAACCCCTGAAAAATCCTCACAAACCAGCAAAACAAACCAAATAAATCCCCTGGCATGAAGCCTCCAGGATCCAGGCCTGGCTCTGCCACTTGACATTAATCCTGCTTGGCAGAGGACACGGGAGCTCCTG